AAAAAAAAAAAAAAAAAAAAAAAAAACTTGTTTAGCTATCAACAATTAAAGCATAAGCAAATTTTCAGTAGATCTGATCAAGGAAAGGAAATGGAAAAGAAGAGCACCACTTACGGTCATCGGTGAGCCAAGGAAATTGGATTTGAGAAGGCTGGCGACGAGGAACCGGAGAGGAAGGGAGAAAGATCAAGCTGAACAAGTGGATCTAAGGAACCCCTTCTCTTATCTCCATCTCCCTCCAGTGTGGCGTGGGCTCCATCTCTTTTTGCAGCGATCACGAACGTCGACTACCATCCACCGCCATGCAAAACCCACAATCTTTCCTGGTTAATTTTGGGGTTTTGTTAAGAAATGAAAATGACTTCGATGAATCCCCCAAGCTCGAAGGCAAGCTCCATTATTTTATCAAACCCAAAGAAGAGGAAGGAAAGAAAGCCTGAAAAAGATCTTAAATGGAAACTCGGAGAGAGATCACCACACCCACACCCACACCACCCCCCATTCCCACTCCCCCCTCCCCCCTCTTCTTTTTTGTTGCACAATGGCAGCTAGGACCTTTTACTTTCACAATGTGAAAGAAAATTACATCGGAGCTACTTAGAGAGTATCATTTTTATGAGTTCAATTAATTGACTTATTGTATATCATCATTAAGCAAGAGTTGTATTGGTTATTTGAGTTTTTTTAATTTATATCTTTAGAAAACAAATTAAGGATAATTTTATATTATAAATGTATATAAAAAAACATATAAATTAATATTAATTTTAATATTATTGTTAAATAAATGCATTTAATTAGATAATTAAAAAATTAAATATTAATTTTTGTTTTTTATATAGTTTATAATAAAAAAATGTGTATTTATAATATTTTAAGGATATATAATAGAAAAATCTTTGTTATTATAATTACATTTAAGGTGAAAAAATGTTATTCTCTTTGTTTATTTTTTATAAATTTGATTTGACTTTTTGAATTTTTAGACTTAAATTTTAAATAAAAATTTAACAATTTATATGAATAATATTTGAAAAGTTTTTTTCTTTTTATATGAAATTTTTGTTAAGTACTTTAATTTGATTAAAAAAACCTTTATCTAAAATTCATCTCTACAATGTCAAAAAAATTAAACTAAAACTATTAAAATTGAACAAAGTATTATAATTAAATTATTACATTTTAGCTTGTCATTCAATTAATCATAACTATAATTCAATTAATTGTATTGATTATATTTAGCAACAATACTATAATTATAATATCATGTAATATTATAAATTTACAATTTTATGTAATATTGAAAAAATATATATAATATTATAAATAAATTTTTAAATAAAAAACTAATTATAAAACTACACATCGTGAATTTTCCATCCAATTTGAACCTTATTTGAGAATTTTGTATAGTTTGAGACTTTAATTAAGTACAATTAAAATTTGGACCCGGAATTATGAATTTTGTGCAAGTTTGGGTCCTTGTTCCATACTTTTTGCCTTTTATTTTGAGCGGCGTTCACCCACCAACGTATCTCCCAAGATTTCTGGAACAAATACGCTTTTTTGGCTGGAGTCAAATTAATTAATGCAAGGATCTCCTTTTAGTTAGCTTGAAACCTTAAACTCTGCCTTCGACCTTTTATTCGGAACCGTAAACGTGGACACACTGCATACAAGAGAACAAGAAAGCTAGGCACTGCAGCGATTTACATCCAAACCCCCAGTAGCGTTCCACAAACAAATACTTGTCTGAATTTGTTGAAAGAAGTGTGGTTTGGTTGGTTATTCTGAGCAGACGGGTTTGCAAAAGAAAGAGCTGAAGACGTGCGAAGATGAGGGTGGGTGAAGGAAGGTTCTGTGAGGAGTTCTCACCTGGGTATTATGGGGTTTGCGCCGTTGGAGGGATGCTTAGTGCTGGGACCACCCATCTTGCTATTACACCTCTTGATGTCTTGAAAGTCAATATGCAGGTCAGTTCTTGTAATTGGATCACCTGATTTTTATTTTTGTTTTTTCACATAACTTGAAATTGTACGGATTAATATGATGATGATGGTCTTTGCATGGAAGGTTTCAAGGATTAATCAGTTATCTGACCTTCATTGCTATTTTTGAAGTGGTGATATATCTTCTAGTTTTTTGGTGCATTTCCAGTTGGGAGTAGTGGGGTTTTCTCTAATTAGATTTTTTGTGATTCTTTGTACTAATCCCCTGTATCTGGAAGACAAATTCGGTCCAACTAATCTGGACTTGAGTGGGGCACAAGAGAAGCTCTCAGCTTATTTTTCATTCATAAGACTCGTACTCAAGATGTTATTAGAAGGAACCAAATTCCTTTCACTTTGACTAACAAATCTTTGGGTTTTTATAATTCCTAAACGAACTGTATTGATTACATATGCTCCAAGTTTCTTACATATAGCATACCATGACAAGGCATACACATAGTTGATCATTCTTATATTAGATCTTTCATTTTGTCTCTGTTACTATCATAACCATTCTTTACTAAATAATCTTCCTCTTGGTGCATAGAAGATAAAAGTTCTTTTTGAATGAGTGAGCATGGCAGAAGGATTTGACTAAATGCAACTGCTAAAACTTAAAAGGGTATTAAGGATCAAAAGTTTCCATCAATTTTGAAAAAGTCCCGTTGCTGCTTTTTTCACATGGTAAATTGGGTTCAAATAATGTCAGACAAAATAAGGTTGTTATTGAATAAATCTATAAGTAGTATAGTCTTCAGAACCAACCATTTCTTAGGTGTTACCATTGCCCTTTGGCACAATACTAAAAATGGACTTTGCTAAAATTTACATACTTCTCTTGTTTTATCTGGTCACACTCTATACTCTAGTCTAGTCTTTAATGATTTGTCTAATCATTTCAATTTAGGTGAATCCAATCAAGTATAATAGCATTTTGTCAGGGTTCTCTACCCTTTGGAAAGAGCAGGGCCCGTCTTCTCTTTGGAGGGGTTGGTCTGGCAAGTTATTTGGATATGGTGTTCAAGGAGGCTGCAAATTTGGTCTTTACGAGTACTTTAAGAGGCTTTACTCCAATGTCTTGGTGGATCAAAACAGGACTTTAATATTCTTCCTCAGCAGTGCATCTGCTCAAGTATTTGCTGATATGGCACTCTGTCCTTTTGAAGCTGTTAAGGTTCGTGTCCAAACACAGCCCAATTTTGCAAAGGGTTTGGCTGATGGATTTCCAAAACTTTATAAGACGGAAGGGCCTGCAGGGTACATTGTACGAAAACTTGAGTTCTTCTGCTCTTCTTTCATCTGTGTGATGTTTACCCATTTGTATCTCACTGCAGCTTCTATAAGGGGCTTTTGCCACTCTGGGGGCGGAATCTTCCATGTACTTTCTCTTCTTCACTGCCCCTGCTAATTTTCATTTGCTTGTTTTCATCCCTCCTAATTTTTGTTTGCTTGTTTCATAATATTCTGACTTATGAATTTAAGAAAAATTTTAATATTGCAACAGTGTCTAGGACTGTTCTAGATTTCTCTGTTGATATGACTTGTAATTGCAGAGCTAACAATTGACATATTTTGTTTATTAATCCTTCATTGATGGTTTTATATTTTGGTTTGCTCACCAATAAACTAGCTGATTTCTGTTTTATTAGTTGAATAATGCACACCCCCATGAGCGATTTCAATCCAAAAGAAATTCAAATCATGATGGCATTTGGCTAAATGATATAATGCTAGTTATGTATGTAGTATGTGTTGCTAGTTAACTCCATTCTGTCTACATTTGCTGGTATCTGTTCCCATTTACTGATTATGGAGTTTGGTTCTTGATGGTGCACAGCCTCAAGGGTGCAAGCCCTTTATGCAGTGTTATTTTCGTAGGAAGTTTAAGTATTAGTTTAGTATTTGGACTTATTTAGTAACTTTAATAATTTTAGAAACTTTATAATTATTTTTGTATTTAATTTGGACCCAAGGTTTGTACCCTATAAATATTCTTATTACAACATTACAATTAGTTTTTGATGAATTGAAATAATTTTCTCAACTCTAAATTCTCTACTTCTTTGGAGATGGTGTCATCTTCCATCCATGGATGACCAAAAATAAAATCTTTCGTTAATGTGTTATTTCATTAATGTCTCTTGAGAAATCACTTCACAGACATGATGTTCCTTTCTTTATGTTTTATGAAAGATGGTGAAATTTGGGGAATGAACAATAGGCTAGTTGGATTATAGGCTTGAAGTCAATGCCCATGATACCTGATTATTTGTTTTGTGCCTGGTCTGTTCCAGATTCCAGTTCTATATTGTTATATGCAGAACTTGTAGTATTGTGTTGACATAGGAGTGGAAGTGCTTGGATTTTAGCTCTTTAACTTTTCAGAATGAGAAATTGAAGCAGTATGCAGTGGCTCAAAATTTGTAACTCAAAGATAATACTTGTGCAGTAAAGATGGTTTCAAAATAATAGGATAACGTTAGTTCTTACCAATTGGCTAGACACAGTTAGTCATCTGTTATGTATCTGTTTATTTTGAATCATCACTCAGCAAACCTTTTATTTTCTAACCGTTGATGATTTACAGTCTCTATGGTAATGTTCTCAACATTTGAGCATTCAGCGGACCTTATATATCGAAATGTCTTTCAAAGGAGGAAGGAAAATTGTACTAGAGCTCAACAACTTGGCGTCACATGCTTGGCAGGGTATGCAGCTGGAGCAGTTGGTACCATAATCTCTAACCCTGCTGACGTTATTGTTTCCTCTCTTTACAATAACAAGGCTGAGAATGCATTACAGGTATAGGTTGTGTCTAGTTAAGTTCTTTCAAGATTTATTCTGTGTTATTTTAAATATATCAGATCATAAGCAATGACCATGGTTTTCTAACAATATATAACTGCATAGTTTTTTATATCACATATTTCAGGCAGCCAAGAACATCGGGTTTTCTAATCTTTTTACTAGGAGTCTTCCTGTTCGGATTACACTTGTTGGGCCACTTATTACAATGCAGTGGTTCTTCTATGACACCATCAAAGTGTTAAGTGGACTGTAAGTGCCTTGTTTCTCAAAAACTCATATCAAAGTGTGCACATTGGTCTCTTCCATTCCCTTTTTTTCCCAGTCCATTTCCATTCAAATGTTCTATTTCAAAGACTTTTGTGGAGCAATATAAAAGCTCTTTGGGAATTTAGACTCCATGACCTTCATTTTTTTTTTCTTCCACGAATTTAGAAATTCTTATTAAAGCCATGTTGAGGCAAGTAATTTATTTCCCTTTTTTGATAAATTTATCCATTGCCTGCAAAGAGAATGTTTTGGTTTTAGCTATTTATCTAACAATAGTACACTTGTAAAATATTTTAGGCCTACTAGTGGAGGGTCCATAAGACATCTGGATGAAACTGATTCATCAGCTTATTAAGCTCTTGGGGACGAGGACTACCAGTTTCACCTGGCCTCCTGCGACTTCGGTACATAATATTGAATCAGCTTTTATATTTATCTAGTACGAGGATTTAGCGCTTGAAAATAGGCATAATTTTCAATGTGGTTACTCTGACGCAGGATTATCAAAGCCTGTTTTATTGGACCAGGCCTTATAAGCCAGTTAGTTAATGCACTCAATGCCTTGATTGCTTCAAATCATGATAATACCATGCAAATATCCTCTTCTTCTCACCTAAATTGTAACTATTAAAAAATAATAATAATAAAGCTTGTTTTACTGTCTAGCAGGAATATCATATTGAAAAATATCCTCTCTGGTTTTTACCTATTTTTACCGGCCTGGCCTGCTAATCGAATTGGCATAGTTGACATGAATGAAATTATGGATACAAAGAATTATTAATAAATTTATTTTACTTTTATTGGTGGGTATGTAAAAACCCAGGATTGGAAGTATAGCCATGACTAAGTGGCTGTTTTGTTTGAGGGAAATGAAAAGGAGAGTTTTTTGGTCCAATAAAATAAAGATTTAAAAGTTCGGCTAAAATCTACAAAAGTAGTTTCCCACCCCTTCCCTCCCTTTCGCTTTCCTTCCATTTGTTCTCTTTCATTTTTTTTAAACCAAACAACCTATGATACAAGCAACACTATTATTAAACAACATACACATCGTTGTAGTCTCTTAAAAAAAAAAAAACTTAAATTAAGAGATAGGAGAATGAGAACTTAGAAAAAAAAATGTAAATAGAAGTAAAATATTTTTGAAGTATAAATAATTCTTCAAAAAATCTACTTGCATGTCATTTTAAAGTTTTCTAGAAAGAAAATCAATAGGTTGTAAATGAAAACCAATTTAACCAAAAAATACCTTAAGAAAAAATATTAAAATACCTAAAGTTGTGAAATAATCAAGGTTGAACTTTATATATATATATTATGTAAATACAAAAGTGATTTATAATAATAGACATGAGCAAAGCCTTTCAAAAGATTTTCAAAACAATATAAGTAGAACCATTGTTTTGATAACATATTGATTTGCTTTAACATCAAGCATAGTACAATCCTAGAAACCTATGACGCAGGGGCGGAGGCAGAAATTTTTTTAGGGGGGCAAGATGCTAAAATTTTCAAAGTTTAGGAGGAGCTAGATAATTTTTCATATACTAATTATATACTAATTTACAAGATTTTCAAATTTCAGGGGGGGCACCTGGCTCCGCCACTGCTATGACGGGTACAAAAGACCTATATCAAAAACTCTCAACTGTTGGTAACTAGTACTCTAAGCTACTAATCTAAAATAGGAGAAAATAACATAAACTAAAAGCCTTATAAGTATAAGTTACAATTATAAACTTGGGTCTTATAACCCATAGATGCAAACAACCACAAGGCCAAACATACAATTAAGCCAAACCATATAATATCACAAATTTTAGTATTAAATAGCATCTTAAACTTAACATGATATAGGAAAATAAATAAACCATTAAGTATGTTAAAGGAAAACCAATGACAATTATTTCAAACTCATATCTTAATGTCACATATTCACAAGCTAAATATCACAATCATAAATCATATAACAAAAATCACATAATGCTAGGAAGTATATTGATGTGTGCTAACAAATACATGTATTAGAACTAGTCATGACACTCAACTTACCATGCAAATGTCCATTAATTACCTCAAAGAGTCCAACAAATACCCCAAATTTCCAAGGCTTAGATCCACTTACTTTATAACCACACACATACACATGTCAAATATGTTCAGAACACATCCAAAATAAGAGAAACATAATTTCATTTGGTAATTTACTTAAATTTCTATACAATCTGCACTGCTTAACCTTATAGTTAAAATATATAAACTGTACTGTTTAATCTATCTATTTAAGTAATTGCATTTTAAAGCAATTTACATCAAATTCCTTATGCTTAGTTCACGGATTCTACCAAAAATTCCAAATAAATATATAGAATTTGCTTTACCATGCTAATCCCCAAGAAAATCATCATGCAATTCATGCACAGAAAATACATAGCAACAATAAATATTGTTTTACAATAAAATTTACACTAAATCCAAATAAGAAAATAAAATTCATTTGTAGGCTCTATCTCCAAGATCCGTACAAGCACAAGAAGTAATATATTTGTAAACAAAATTTTAATAATTAAAAAATACTTTAAACAATGTATTCAAGGTCAGATTTCACTGATTTAAATATTTTTTAGTATTTATAATTTACCCAAAACTCTAATCCAAGACTACAAGGAAACCTATACTTAAGAGAACCATGTCACCAAGTTAGAAAAAAACCAGCAGAAAGATAGAGGAAACAGTAGAAATTAAAGAGTCATCCAAAGAAAGCACGCTGCAGGAGCAACAAACAGCACTCCTCGGGCTTGTCCACTCTCATACTCGGCTAAAAGAGAAAAAATGAAAAGAAATGGGTTAGGGGACAACCATGGTCATCTGAAAGGCTTTTAAGTCAAAAAAAAAAAAAAAAAAAAGGGAAAATTATGCTTGGTAAATATTGTTCCACGTGGTACTATATTAACAAAATGGAGTTGGACATTTTAAACATTTTTTCACTTAAAACTTTCAAATTTTAAATTTAATCAATTTAATCCGTATGACTTTAAAATGAAGGACTCAAATTTACAATTTGTTCACTCAAATATAGGGGTGTTACAAAGGGCAAATTCTAAATTCCTGACAAAGAAAAATCTCAAAGTCAAGTTTTGAATCCATTCCAAAGGCTGGACAAGATCAAGTTAAGATGCTTACTCTTTACAAATCTAATTGTTAATCAAAAAATCGTACTATTTTAAAATGTGTCACTAGTTAAAGTTTGACTGCATGAATGATGGTACCCTAAATTAGACATATTTTCTATTTTTTAAAATGTATTTTAATTTATATTTATTATTTTGTAAATAAATACACATTATTTTATTTTGCATATCTTGATTTTGATCCTATTTGGTGTAGAGGTTAAAATCCAACAACTAATATGTGACAGATGGTAGAAAGTGAGTAATGAATAGTAGATTGTAGATTTTATTTGATGTAATCGTTTAATTATACAATAATTAATGATTTTTGTTTGACATTAAATAATAATAAAGGCATTTTTAAAAAGAAATTAAGTGTATTTTTTATTTTTATATTTTTATTATTATAATATTAATTTTATAAAAATAATAATAAAGTAAATCTATAAGATAAAATATAAAAATATGAGTCAAATACTCATTTAAGTTTTTAACAAATAAAAAATTATATTATTTTTAAACAAATAAAAAACAAGCTTTAATTATTTCATTTAATTAGAAAATTTTATTCATTAAACTAATATAAATTTTTTATAATAAATAAATGTAAAAAAATAAAAACATAATAATTACTTAATATTATTAAAAAGTAAAAAAAGAAGTTGAAACCAATTTGAAAATTAATAATTAAAGACTATGGCAAAAAAATTGAAAATTTAAAATGGATAAATTTGTTAATAAAATTAAAAATTTTCAATTCTCTAGTGTTAAATTATTAAATAAAATTTTTTTATCAAAACTTAGTTTATAGTAGTTTAAAAATAAATAAATTTATCAAACATTTATTTTATATTAAGTTTTGGTAAAACCACTAATCACTACTTCTTTTATCTTAGAATAATAATAAATGTTTTTTTATTTTATCTTAAAATTAAAGATGTATAGATAATTTCTATTTTTACCTATATTATCTTTACAAAAAGTAAAAAGAATTACAATTAAGAGATAATAATAAAGTTAAAATAAAAAATATTTCCTGCAAAATATAAAAAATAATTATTATTCAAAAATAAATTTTAAATAAAAAATATTAATTATTCTTAGATAAAAAAAAAAAATATATAAAATGCGCTATGTGTTGCACTTTTAAGAAAATATTTGAATTAAAAGTGTGCTTTCACTTAAAAATTAAAGAGAATTAAAAACCTACGCCAATATTATAACTTTTTTCTATGATGTCAGTTTGACTTTAGTGGGACTTTATCTAATTCCACTACATCATTGTTTTCTACTATTGTCTCCGATTCAACACAATAGCTTAGCCACCAAACGGTCCACTACATCATATTTTAGTATTTAATAAACCGATAAAACTCAGCCCCAACCCATCTTCGGCTTGCCCAAAAATGGCATTCATATCTGGCCGATAGAAAAACCAAAAGTCATCTAATCAGCTGGCTGCTTGGAAGTTGGAACATGGGCCTGACCGCCGGGGTCAATAAATGAGAGGAAGAGGGCAATCTATAGTCAGCAAGTTAGAAGCAGATCTCATTATGAATGTTTTGATGAGAAAGAAGACCATTCCATTCAAGTCAAGTTGCCGTGAGATCTTTTATTTCTTGAAAGGGGACAATTTAGTAGGGAATAAAAACCATTAAATAACAAGTACTCCATCTTTGACCCCTTCTAAAATGTGCTTCTCTTTTATTAAAGTTGAAATTTAACGAGCTGAAGAGAAACTGCCCAAGATTTTGTTTTTTGTTTTTGTGCGTGTTTTTCTTTTTGCCCTGGAATGCCCATGGCCATTCCATTCAAATCAAGTTGCCGTGAGATTTTTTTATTTCTTAAAATAGACTTTTGCTTGTTTAAGCTTTTGAATTTAATAATTTTAAAAAATTTTAAATTTTATTTATCTAAATTAATGGTTCAATATTTCTCAAATTATATTAAAATATCTTTTTACAAGTTAGGTAAGTTAGGCCAAGTTATGTTACCAAGTTTTGGGTTTATTTTTACCGAATCTACTATTATAACAAATATTATCTTATTCTACTTTAAATTGTATGTATATTAAATTTTATTTGAAGATCTATTTGATTCGTAAAAAATAATACATTAAGAAAATGCATTTTCTTTTTCAAAAATTATCTTTTAAATGTTAGAGCACTTTGGAAACTTTTTTGTGAATAATATTTTTATTCTTTGGTATGCACTGGAAAATCATCAAAATTTCTTCAATATTAACTTTAAATACATCAAATTTTTTATACTTATAAAATTAATTAGAAATAAAAACATTTTAAAAACTCAAGCTACAAATTTACAACTTAGTGAAATTTAAAGATAGACTCAAGAAAAGAGGTCGCATGCTCCTCTTAGCCATTGCATCCGACATTTGCACTCGCTATTTCGTGTCTTTTTTTTTTTTTTTTTTTGTTTCTTCTCTCTTTATTTGTATATAATGAGTTCTTGACCTTGCATAATCATCACTTTCATCAATTGGTTTTTGAGGATCAACTCTCATACATGATGAACAAAGAAAATAAAATAAAATCAATGATGGAAAACTCTAATTAAAGATTCATGCAAGGCAACAACAAAAAAAAAAAAAATACCAATAAACCTAGAAGAAAGTACCTTTGAAAGATAATAACTACTTAAACAAACCACTTAATTCTAAAAAGGAAACACCAACAAATGACAAAAAGTACTTATCTTACGCTATCCTTGATTCAAACTTGAACGCACCACGATAGAACAGTAAGGTCAAACATGGTAAACGAGGTAATTGGCTTCTCACATGACTTCCTTTTTACTTTTTTTTTTTTTAACAGCTTTAACCTTAATTAGCTACTTTGTATAGTTAGGGTTCAACGTGCTCAATAATAAAGTTAGTATTTTAAATCTTACTCAAAGAAATTTATTTTCCTTCAAATGCACCATGTCCATACTGAGTGCTCTCTCATAATGGCTTAAAGAGAAATTAATCTTAAGTACACATAAATTAAAATAGGGACACTCTCACCATCTAAACTTAAAAAGTATTATTATATATTTATATAATTACTAAAATATATAAAATATTAATTGAAGTCAATTTAATTATAAAAAAATTATTTTTAAGTGAGAAAACATAGTTAAAAATCAATCCAAAATGAACTTAAGATGGAGAGTTGGATTGAGGGAACAAAATACCCTAACTTTAACTTGCCAGTTTGTATGGTAAGGGTTTAACTCACCTAAAAATAAAACTACATTTAATATTAGTGTGTAATATTGTGACCACGAATGGTGAGTAAGCAATTCAATTAAAACTAGCTAACTTTGAAAGTTGGATTAAGAGAATATAATCCTTAATTTATAGCGAAATAAAATAATTTAATTAGTTATAATAATTTTATCTTCTCTTTTCTCCCCTCAAGTCAAACCCATAATTATGGTTATTGATTACTAACATTAATGATGTAATAGATTAAGAAAATGACAATAAAGGGTCTGTAAGTGTGATGTGTAAAATAAGATAATGATGATTGTAAAAAAAAAAAAAAAGATAATGATGATAATAGGAAGTGCATGAGTGATGTATGATGCATGATGCATGATGATGTATGTACCTGTGATGATAAAGTATAGTAAAGAAAAGCCGCGTTGAGGGGAAAGCAAAATAGAAAAGAAAATGAGAAAGGGATAAAGAGAGAGAAAAGGGAAAGGAAGCTGGTCAGCACTCCTCATATCCGATGTTTCTTAGCAACAGCATCCCAAAAATAACAACAAAAAAAACAGAAATAATTTTCAAACATTAAAATAACCCATCAACAACCTGTTATTAATTAGGGAAGTGTTTTGGATCAATTTCATTCACAAACAGCTTCAAGCCAATTCCTTCCCTCTTCCTCTTCAATTCTTTTTTTCATTTCTACTCCACCTGGTATAGATCCACCTCTTTTCCCCGACTTTCCTTTTTTTTTTTTTTTTGTTTACTTAGTTGCATGTATTTTTCTGTATCTTTTCGTTTATTTGTTCTGTTCTTGATTTCTGATCATGTTGTACTTGATTATTTGTTCCTATGAATTGATTGCTAGAATTTTGTAGTTTCTATGATGAATTTTGATAGCTATGATTGGTGGGTTTGATGGGGATTTTTTTTTCTTTGGGTTTTACATGCTGTATCCATCCAGGAAGATGGTGACTTTGTTTATCCTTTCCTTTTAGATTCGGTGAAAAATCATTTTCCTTGATCTGATTTGCGACTCTTTTGATGGGTAGATTTGTAGATTCCGGAGTGAAATTTGCTATATTTATAAAGTTTCTGATTCTGGGATTTTTGCTTATTTCTCAATAATGGCATTTCTTTTCTCTTTTACAGTGTAATTGATGATACAACTTTGGATGAGGAATAAGTATTGGTAAGGGAATTGTTGATTGTTTCATGGGCAACACATGCCGCGGATCTTTCAAGGGCAAACTTTATCAGGGCTACAATCAGCCCGAGGAGTATTCTACCACTTCCAAGCGCAACACACCCTCTGACTGTTCAACAACTGACAATTCTTCCTTGAACTCACAACAGCTCGTAGCAAAGGAAATATCCAAAGAAAACCGCCAAAAGGATCACCATTTGCCTCTTGTTAGCCCCTTCAAGAAAGATAACATCATGAAGCGTGTTGATAATCAGGCTTACTATGTTTTGGGTCATAAAACTCCTAATATCCGTGACCTCTACACTTTAGGTCATAAATTGGGGCAAGGGCAGTTTGGGACTACTTATTTGTGCACTGAGATTGCCACAGGCCGGGAGTATGCTTGTAAGTCTATATCAAAAAGGAAACTGATCTCCAAGGAGGATGTGGAGGATGTTAGGAGGGAGATCCAGATAATGCACCATTTGGCGGGTCACAAGAATATTGTGACCATCAAAGGTGCTTATGAGGATACTTTATATGTCCATATTGTGATGGAGCTTTGTTCTGGAGGTGAATTGTTTGACCGGATCATCCAAAGAGGTCATTATACTGAGAGGAAGGCAGCTGAACTGACCAAGATTATTGTTGGGGTTGTTGAAGCTTGTCACTCTCTCGGGGTTATGCATAGAGATTTAAAACCTGAGAACTTTTTGTTGGTTAACAAGGATGATGATTTTTCTCTCAAAGCGATTGATTTTGGGCTCTCTGTCTTCTTTAAACCAGGTATGAAATGAGTGCTCACATTAATTTACCATTTTTAACTGAAATTGGAAGCCACTTTAGAAGCGCAAACACAAGTTGATTATCTTGCTACATGTGTATGGAACATTTGATTAATTCCTTATTCTTCTTTTGGTAAATTACTCTTTATCTTGTTTAAGTCAAAATTTTAAGTTTTAACCTTTTAACATTAAACCAAATGCATCCTTGCTTTAACATGCCAAACTGAGCCCGCATTTCTAATGAAACTCTTGCACATTTTTGTACATTTAGATATGAATTCAATTGCTGCCTCCAGAGTAATAGCTATCATATCATAGTTAAAGAACCAGAGTTTATTTCTTGTATTGGATTCACACATAGCATTTTGAGTGCTGTTAATGTCAAATTATTATTATTATTTTTTTTGTGGCCAAAAATGTCCCATGGAGATAGATGTCTTTATTCCACTAATGGAGAGAACAACAGTTTTTGTGTGCACAACTTCCAAGTTGGAGGTCTCATGTTCAAATCTTGGAAAGGGTGGGACTTGGGAAGGATGTTGGGAAAGGGGAGCACTATCCATTGTTGTATGGTCCACTTATCATATGTACCAAATGAAGGCTTGATGTGTTCTTGAATTCTTGTGGTTTAACATTGTGGCTTGCTATTTCAGGACAAATTTTTACTGATGTGGTTGGAAGCCCATATTATGTTGCTCCTGAGGTACTCCTCAAGCATTATGGACCAGAAGCAGATGTATGGACTGCAGGCGTCATACTGTACATATTGCTAAGTGGTGTGCCTCCATTTTGGGCAGGTATTTATGAACTATTATTCTATATGGTTCTATAGTATAATTAGTTTTATCTTTTAATGTTTAATGTAATCAAAAACTTTTTGCTTCCTGGATCCCAGAAACACAGCAGGGAATATTTGATGCAGTTTTGAAAGGACACATTGACTTTGATTCAGATCCATGGCCCCTAATATCTGATAGTGCGAAAGACCTTATCCGGAAGATGTTATGCTCTCGACCTTCGGAGCGCCTTACTGCCCATGAAGTGCTATGTATGTATAACCCTTCTAAGTTTTTCTGCTTGATGTTGATGAAGGATTTGATCCTAGAATGATGAAACATAAAGCATCTGCTCTCTAAAATTTGGTTATTATATATATCGGTATAAAGCTGCTGACTTATCATAAGCTACATTTACTTTTTAACTCAAAACTTCCCAATTAACTTTTTCCTTGTCAATTTGAATTTTCTAGGCAACTTATTACAGATTCGATTCAGCTATCTTGTTTTTGGGATTTCTGGGAAATGCATTGAGAATGAATAGTGCATCCTGAGTTAACTGTATAAAATAAGTAATGTAGATATTTAGTAACTTTTCAAATTTGTTTAGTAATTAAGTCTTAACTCTTCCTAAGAGTTTTCCTAGGTTCAGCAAATGGGAATATTAAAACTTCTGCTGAAGAATTCACCATATCAATTGGCATAGTTTGTCACTTTGCATATCATTGTTTTTCCAGTGACCTAATGATCAAAATATCATATGTTTTACTTTGTTGTTTATTAGGTCATCCTTGGATTTGCGAAAATGGAGTTGCCCCTGATAGGGCTCTTGATCCAGCTGTCCTTTCTCGCCTCAAACAGTTCTCTGCAATGAATAAATTAAAGAAGATGGCTTTACGGGTAAGTCTGTCTGTCTGTCTGTCTGTCTGTCTCTCTGTCTCTCTCTTTCTCTCTCTCTACTGAGAGAAACATGCGTCTTTTTCAAAGAATAGAATGAGAATAATCTTCAAATACATGGGCCATGTTTCATACCGATTGAGAAAGGGTATTAGTGTAACATAAGAAAGCCATTTACACACTAGATGAAGAATGCACCTTAATTTCATAGGGCTGCTTGGTATCACTTCGATTCATGATTTCTGTTTTGGTTTTCAGAAAAATGGGAACTGATGAGGAAAACTTGTTTGGTTAGATTTCTTAGTTCCCAAAAAATTGAAATCCTACAACAGGATTCCATGACTTTTAGAAAACCAAAAAAATTGTTTTTCAAAGTTTTGGAAGTGGTACCGAACAGTACCTTAAATGTTGTATGGCAGGACTAGTTTTTCCATCCCTTGAGTCTGGCTTCCATTTGTACTCAAATGTTATTTATATGGGATGCATAAATTGAACTTTATGCTGATCTCTAAATATCCATAATATTTTGGTCTGCCTAACATAATCGGTATTGAGTTCAAATTGTTAAGCTCATTCTAACAGGAAGTTACATTTGCCCTTTTTCCTTTCAGGTAATAGCTGAAAGTCTTTCTGAGGAGGAGATTGCAGGATTGAGAGAAATGTTTCAGACAATGGATACGGACAACAGTGGAGCAATTACATTTGATGAACTCAAAGCTGGTTTGCGAAGATATGGCTCTACGCTGAAAGATACAGAGATACGTGACCTTATGGAAGCTGTAAGATCTTTGTTTCATTTTGTTTTGCCTTTTTTTATTCTTTTTTTTTATCCTTTCTTCCCACTCATTTCTATATTTTTCTTGTTATATTCTTACTGCATCTTTTACATTGATTATAAATTCTATTTATACATGCATTACTTTGAGGTCAATGGCTGCTTCTTTCTCCACTTAATAATTTTTTTTAGCTTTCATATCTCCCCATTTAATCATGAAAGCATGGGGTGAAGGGGGAATATAGCAATGCCTTGTAGGAAACTGTCTTCATATTGTGGGACTGGGACCAATTGAGATACAAATGAATGCTTCTTTATGAACAATAATATAGACCTTTGAACCAAAGGGAGAATAGTTATTCCATTTGTGACTGATGTCCAATTTATGAGGGATCAATTTGGGTTTCATCAGGTCTCTTTTTGATTTGAATCTTTATATACAATTTACAGCAATCTATCATATTTGCATTCTTAATTAAGCATATTTTAAAATTTAAGTACTTTGTTCTCCAATTTTCTGAGCTGTTTCATTTGTTTTCAGGCTGACGTGGACAATAGTGGGACCATTGACTATGGGGAATTTATAGCTGCAACTGTTCACCTGAATAAATTAGAACGTGAGGAACATCTTGTTGCGGCATTTCAATACTTTGATAAGGATGGAAGTGGTTATATTACAGTTGATGAGCTTCAGCAAGCTTGTGCTGAACATAATATGGATGATGTTTTTCTTGAAGATATAATCAAAGAAGTTGATCAAGATAATGTAAGTCGTCTGACCTTGATGACCATATGCATGGAATGCTTTTAGCTAGACATTTTCCATTATTTATACTGTTGGGTGTTTGTATTGCTAACAAAATGGTTGAATATTTCTAGCACTTCTCCAGTGCATTGCTGTTTAAAGTTCTTGTGCTTTATTGTGCCAGAAGAACAAGGATAAAAGTGGATGAGAAGAAGGGTTTATTCCATTTGATTTCAGTAAGATTTGTTGTGACTGATATCTAAATGCTAAGGCTCTATAAAGTGGCTATTGCATGAGAATATAAGATACTAGAGTATTACTGGTCACGTAAGTATGGATTGGTAAGAAATTTTAGTTGACTATTTAGATAAGTTTGGGTGATGATGTAATGGTTAATACATTGGAAGGATGGAGTAAATGCTGTTATGACATTATTCCAGCTACCCTAACTTGCTGACAAAAATTTATCCAACATCAAACTAAATGCATGAATTTTTTACAATACCTTTTCATGCTCATGCAAAAACTGTGTGGTAGTCATTAGACTATACCAATAGCCTAAAGGATGGGGGTTGGGCAGGCACCTTTCTGTTTTCACAGTTTCTGTTAAATATGTTGTGTTGATCGAGGTTCGCTTCTATCTCTGTTTTGTTTCAGGATGGAATGATTGATTACAGTGAATTTGTTGCCATGATGCAAAAAGGCAATGCAGGAATTGGTAGGCGAACCATGCGAAACAGTCTGAATATGAGCATGAGAGATGCTCAGGGTGCTCAATAGTTCAGTCAAGCACATCATGTACAGGTACTTTTTAGCTAATTCCAAGAGGCAACGTAAAACTTCTCACAACTTCTTTTAGTTAAGCCATGGACCTTGTGATAATGTGAATCTTTTATTATTTTGGCCTCTGGACCAATTAATCTGATCATTCAGGACTTGCTTCTACTTGATCTAATACTTGTGGTCATGTTTGGTTCAATGGAATGACTATTCTATGATTTTTACTGGAAAGTAAAGTAAGCTAGAGTTTTGAGTATGGTTGTTCAATGCTTATACCTATTTTCTTCTAGTTAGTGGGAATCAGCAACAACTAAAATCTTAAGGGTGCTAATAACTACTCCCACCTTATTGCCACTTATTGGAAGAAAATGTGTAATCTCATTCCCACCTTTTTGACCAAATTGACGAAGTATTCCCCTCTTTTTCCCCCTTTTTCCTTTCTTCACACAAACAGCCATACCATTGAACCAAACATGACCAAGCAATCCTACATTGAACTAAGGAAATGTTAGAAAACTAGATAATTGAATACATAATCACTTCAACAGCTTTCATTCTCTTATTAAGTCTGCAAATAGGTGTGGATGTTAACAAGTTCAAAAACTCTGTTCATCATAAAGCATTATGGACTATCGTTAAAAAGATTGTGTAGACGCACTGTATTTTTTTAATGCCAGTATGATAACTCTGAACATTGATAGGTCGTACGGCGCAAGGGCAGAGAAGAAGATGATATGAGAAGAAGCTTTGGAAAATCAGTTTGGTTCGTTCCAGGCTCCAGTGCTTTGTTCAGCAGTTCGGTTATATGGAGAGTTCTGTGTTCGATCATTTTCTCACTTGTTATTGGTTGTTGAAGCTGTGTGACTCACGAATGCATTTATAAGTTCTGTAAACTTCAGAGAATTTTAAATTTGACTGTAACTAACAATTACCAAGTCATTAGCAGTGTTTCGGAATTGAAGGTTTGTGTTGATTTCTTAATGAATTGGACAAGCAAAATGGTGTGCTTTGAACTAGCCTGGTTTTCCTATTCAGGATTGATCGAGCAAATTAATGGAGAGGTCAGTTACGTGGACATATGATTTAGTATTTCTGCAAAATCTCTACTCGAACAGTACTTCTAGAAAAGATAATAGATAGGTCAAATTGGCTATTAGCGTGAGGTTCTACAAAGAACTAGCCTCGGAATAATCTTGGCATCGATTGAAGAGATTACATTTTAATGAAACGTTCGACAATTCCAGGAGATTTTCGAACATGATTCCATGAACATAATCTCTTTAAGTTACGTACTAAATAATAATAATAATAATAATAATAATAATTTCCTTAGGATAAATGCCAATCAGTGTTTTGAAAATCAGTGTTTTGAAAATCGATCCAAATGTAAAATTGATCTGGAAGTCAAATAATTTTAATCTTTGGTTATCGATTTGATTGGTTTAATCGACTAAATTGTTCAAATCACCAATTCATTCAAATATGAACAAATATAATATTGGTTAAATGTTTAATTTGGTCTCTCAACTTTATAAAATGAATATTTTTGATCCTTCAACAATTTTTTTGCACTTTTTTGATCCCTCAGCTATACGAAATGCACTCCGTTAGTCCTTCTGTTAATTTCGATCGTTAACTCGCTTATGTGGCATTTTTTATAATTTTTTTGATGACGTGGCAAAAACAAATTGAAAACGTGTTGATGTGGATTTTTTTTTTTCATGCCAACTCACATTATTACTATTTATATTTTAAAAAAATAAAATAAAAAAACTCACGTTCATCTTCTTCCTTTCTCTTTTTCTTTTTTTGTCCTTCCTCTTCTTTCTTCCTCTTCTTTCTTCCTTGGGTCATGGAACCCAGTTGCTGGGTTCGACGAAACCCAGCCTGGGTTCCAGCGAACCCAATGCTTGGTTCGGTGGAATCCAACAAATGGGTTCCATCGAACCCAGATTTGTTGGGTTCGACCGAACCCAGAACCCAGCTCCACTTTTTTTTTTTTTTTTGCTAAGAGATTATCCAAATTGCAGGTTGTTGTGAGGGATTTTTGAGCAACTGGTTTTTTTTTTGGTTATGTGATTGTTTGCCAAGAGATTATCCAAATTGCAAGGATTTTTGGGCAATTGAGCTCAGTGAATCGAGCTGGGTTCGATGGAATGGATTTACTCGATTCTGTTCTGTCGAACTTCAATCTTGAAAGTGGAAAGCATGAAAAGAATAGAAACAGTAACAGACGGGGGAAATAAGCAATTCTTAGTAGTGATGTGGGACCCATTTGAATTGGTTTGGTGCGTTTTCCGCCAGGTAACATGACATGGCAAAAGTTTTATACAAATCATCACCTTTTTAAATTTTGTTCTCCACATCATCAAAAAAAAATATAAAAAATGCCACATAAGCAAGGTTAACGGCCCAAACTAACAGAAGGACTAACGGAGTGCATTTTGTATAGTTGAGGGATCAAAAAAGTGCAAAAAATTGTTGAGGGACCAAAAATGTGCAACTCACTAAAGTTGAGGGATCAAATTTAGCATTTAACCTATAATACTATGCAGCCATAAAACAATTAGTGGTTCTAATGGTAACTTGTCGTGTCTAAGTCTAAGGGAGGCAACAGGTCGCAGGTTCAAGTGCATGGATGTCAAAACTTGATTATCAGGTTTTTAGCTTATAACTTATAATATATTAATAATTTTTCTTGTATATAAATTATAAATATAATAAACATAATTTTTTTAATTACTTTATATAAAAAATTATAAATATTTTTAAATTAATTTAGTACGTAATTAAAATCATATATTAAATGTTAATTTTTATAATTTTTTTGTATAGAAAAAAGTGCATATTAGTGTCAACTCACAAAAATAATTAGAATCTTAATTTTAAACTATATCGTTATATTTAATTTAAAATTTTAAAAATTATCTTATTAAATATTGATATATTAAAATATATAATAGATTTTTAAATTTATATATTAATATTTAATATAATAAGATTTCAATTTTCATATATAAATTAGAACTTTAATTATTTTTAGAGTCAGGGCTAATATATACTAATTTTTTTATATATTAATTAGGTTGAAACCAAA